AGTGAAGAGAAAAGGAAAGTGAAAAAGCATGCCACCACATCTGAGATTTAAACCACAGTTGGCCATGTAGAAGTCCCACCCCTTAACCACTATGCCACCTGCTGATTGCAAATGCTTTTATTTTTGAATACAGATAATAACTACATGGACATTCCACTCAAAAAAGATTACAATATAAATGTGATGAGCATGAAAGACGAATTAGTAAATCATAAAAACAGGACTTTGATTTAAAACAGAAAGTACTAAAATCTCAAAGTGCTTATGTTAAAGGCCAGTATAACAGACAAACCTTGACAAAGTTAATTATTCAAAAAATATCTTGGTGGGATCAGTAGTTGGCTTAATGGCTATGTTGCTGGACTCCCTTGTAGTCTACTATGGCTCGAGTCCTGGACCCAGAGGCTTAAACTCATGCCAGGTGCATGGGCGTGCATGCCCAAGATTCCAAGAGGAGAATGGAGGAGAAGGGATTGCAGCATGGCCATCCCCCAGGGGGTGATTTCTCGCTTTCTATCTCTCTGTCTTTCTAGTGAGTGCATGCGCCCTAAAGCAAAAACCTCTCCCCCCCGCAAAAAAATAAAAAAATAAAATAAAAAAAACATGGTTAAAACATATTTTAATTTATAGGAATTCATCTAAATCCTCAAAATAATATATCTATAAAAAAAAAAACCTCCCACTAATCTAATCATTAACATTTATTAAGTTCTAACATAACACTCTATGAGGCACTGTGGATGAACTGTTGACAAAAATAAATGAGTTCTATTGCCCTATAGATTCTTGCATTTTGGACACATAAATAAATATTCCAGGCTCCTAATTAATATCTGTTTCTACCTCTGTAGTGGAAAACCCGAGAAAGTATATATTACATTAATGAGGAAGAGACAAAGATTATCATGTCATAACAATTTTTTTTTTTGCTTGGTCTGTTCCAGGCACTTAAAATCATTCAGTGTTTGCAATTATTCTCTGACGTAGGTACTAATAGTTCTACCATATTTTGAAATTGAAGAAATTGAAGACATGAGATATTAAATAACTCATAGTTACAGTTACCTTTATATCTGAAAAGTCTGACTGTGGGATCCATACTTTACTACAGTGTGCAACTACTCATCATTAAGGAATTTTTAAAAAATTGAGCATTTATATAACTTCGAAAACATTAACATTATGATGAAATATTTGGTTTTTTTCCTAGTCAATTACAAATTACCAAATTTGACTCTTGCAGAAATTTTAAAACAGTCAAAGAAAACATGATCAAAAACACAGATCTGACGAGAGTGGCAGAGCCTGGTAAGGTTTTATGAGAGCCCTATCAGTATTCTAAGGAAGACACCAATTTCCCTTCTATTTAATTTGATACTGAATATAAGAAATGTGAGTACTGTGGTCTGTTTATCAAGCAATCATTGACCACAATAATACTATATCTAGTATCTACTACTAGTCAAAGCTAGTAATATACAAACCACTCATGGACTCACTAACAGATAAGCACACCCATCAACAAACAATAAGCTACAATAATCTCACCTTTGAATATAGACACAAAAATTCTAGATAAAAAAAAAAAAATTCTGGGGCTGACCCTGTGTCCCAGTGGTTAAGGAAGCGCAACCTCACATGGCAGATCAGGGTTCAAATCTCAGCCCCAAGCCCTAATGACTTGAAAAACACACTGGTGTATTTGCATATATACCAGAATCCTGACAGAATTGGGAAATGAAGCAGAAAGATTAATGATGTGATCACACCCCCTTCTGGGAGTGCTTTCTTCCTCTTCCTCTTGCTATCTTTTTGTCTCTTTCTCTGGTAAGCGCATACATCCTCTATAAGAAAAAAATTAATTATTTTTTTTCAATTTGTGATTTTAAAATCACAAATTCTGATGTATATTTTGAAAGTGGTGTAGCTGTATTTATGTAAGAGTTACTCCAAAACCCAAAGTTCAGTGTTTCGTATTGGTAGTATATTTACGTAAACAACCAGCAAAAAATGCTATTTTTTTAATCTAGCAATTTCAGTTTTATGATTTGTTCTTAAGAAACAAAAGCAAAAAGATATTCACAAGGACACAAAGATGTTTATTATAGCACTGTTTATAGTAGCGAGAATTGCTGTCATGTCTGTAAGAAAATAATGGAAAGCTATCTTTCATTTAGCATTTATAATCTACGGTAAAGAAATGAAAGTAAGATACACAAAACATTTTGTTTAAAAGAAGAACATCTCAACTGGCAACACGAATAAGGACTTTGCTGAAGAGCAGACATTTAAGATGGGCCTCAAAGGATTAGTAGGGTTTTAACAGATATGATTGGAAACAGAGAGATATGCTTCTGGGTCAGGAGAAGAGGAAGGAGGCAGTGAGAAATCAAACTGAAAAAGTAGACTGGGTCCAAGAGCACAAAGCATATTAAATATAGATAGTCATAAATAAATCAGTGGAACAGAACTGAGAAGCTTGAAAGATTCAAGTATGTGAGTACCAGTTATGTGTAGGAACTGTGGGAAAAAGAGTTTTACTTATTTAATGATGCTGAAATAACTACTTACATTTGCTGTCTCACATCCAACATGTGAATGTTGTTCAGATGGACTAAAGACCCAAACATTTAAAAGTAATAAAAAATGCTATCAAAAATACTGCAGAAAAATAGAACATTAGTTGGGTTTCAAGATAAGTTTCTAAAGAAAAAATTCAGAGGTCATAAGGAAAACTGAAGAGGTGTTTATTTTCCCCAGAAAATGTTTATAAAATTGTATCAGAGATGCCATCATAAGGTAACAATACACTGGGGAAGAATATTTCTGAGAAACAAAATCTTTAATGCCCGCCATACACAAAGAACTCTAAAAAATTAAACAATGCAAAAAGACAAAATAAAACGTGAAAGAAAAACAGCATAAGCAAGCAATTCACAACATGCAGACACAAATGGCCCATCAGATTATAAAGATGTTCACCCTTCTTATATTAGGTCATTAGATCCTAAGTTGTAACATACTTTTCTATGTTTTTCTATGTAAAGATGTGTCATGACTTTCCCAACAACCCTGTAGATCAGAGAAATATCGATTAAATAAACAATAAAATACCATTTTTTACTTGTCAATACTGACAAAAATTAAACAGATTTATTGCATACAATGTTGGCAAGGATACGAGAAAGAAGTATCATATTTTACTTATCTGTGTAGGAGCTGGTACTATATTATTGAAAAACAATCTGGAAGTGCTTATTAAAATGAAAAATGTGCATGCCCTTTGATCCATCAATCCCAGTTTGGGGGATGTCTGCTGTAGAATATAAAACACTCATGTGTGATATATGTGCAAGATTGTTTATAGCAACATTGTTTCTTACTGCTAAGAAAAAAAAAAAAACTGGGACTACACACTGTTTAATTATATGGGGCAGTTGATTAAATTCTGATGCTTCTATACAATGGAATAATATGTAACTATTCACCAGAATATGTCAGGTCAGTATCTGTTGGATATAGTCTTTTAATAATAAGATAGCAAGGGCTACCAGGTGGCATGGTGGTTAAGGTGCTGGACCCCCACATGGTCAACCATGGTTCAAATCCTGGACCTGGTGGCTTGCTTTCTCAATTTCTCTCTGTATCTCTGTCTCTAGTGAGGACACATGTCCTGTAGCAAGCTTTAATAATAATAAGAAGAAGATAGCAAGCATACAAGATACATTTTTAAAAAACAAAAGTAACTGATCCTTCATGTGGATATAGGCATCATAGAGACCAAGTGAAATATTACATGCAAACTATTGTTGCAGGGGAAAAAGGGAATTTTAAGGGGCAGGAGCAGAAAACATACATCATTTAATTCATGACCTTTTTGTTTGACTCATTACAATAAGCGTGTATTAGCAATTTAAGCAAATTATTTTTTGTAATTAAAAAATAGTGATTTAGATACAAAGCATAATATATTAAAACATCTATTGTTCCTGAATTGCTTCTTTGGAACTATGAAAGGAAAGGTAGCTATCCCCTTGTAATCTGTTATAACTGCCTACTAGAAAATCCACATGGAAGTGATGTGGATCAACCAGCAGCACATGGTTCTTAATTGTGATTACATTTTACTGCACTCAGCCTATTAAGTGCTTAAATTACCAGAGAACCGAATCTGTGTTCCTAATAGTGGAAAGTGTATTAACAGTCTTTTCACTCCCTATCGTAGCCCTGTTCCAACGATCACGTGGATGAAGGTTAATGGTTACATTCCTAGTAAGGCACGCCTGCGGAAATCTCAGGCGGTGCTGGAAATACCGAACGTGCAGCTGGATGATGCAGGCACATATGAGTGCAGAGCTGAAAACGCACGTGGGAAAAATTCCTTTCGTGGACAATTACAAGTATACAGTAAGTGTTTTCAGCAAAGCATGATGTTGTAGTTGCAAGAGTCACCCTGAAATGCAAATTAATTTGAACTAACTATTGTTTGTTAGGTATATAAAAATCAAGTCATAATTTATAATCATCCTACCCTTGCATGATAAAGCATTGTGTAAAATTCCACCACACACAGAGATGCTTTAAAAGAAAAAGCAATGGGAAATTATCAGTCTTTGTATGGCACTACAGAATGTGTATCTTTTTTTTTTTAAGAGATAATTTTGCAGTAGTGTGTGTGCACTTGCCAGAGAGACTGAGAGACAGAGACAGAAAGGGAGAAATCACTACCCCCCACCCCTACCCTCCTTCAATCTCCTCTCTGGATTTTGGGCATGCACACAACTACTGTGAGTTACAAGCTGCCAAGTCTGGGACTCAAACTGCAGTCAGCCATGTGAAAGTCCAGAGACATAACCATTATGCCATCTTCTGGTCCTCACAATGTATATCCTAAAAATGAGATATGTTTTCTGGCAAGCACACCAACTTCCGTGTGTGTGCGGGGGAGTGTGTTTTGCTATAAGGTGCATGGGGCTACCACTGGGAGAAGAGAGAGAGAGAGATAAGTCACCCCCCCCCCCAAGGGGCATAGCCACATCACAATCCCTTCTTCTCCACTCTCCTCTTGTGATTTTGAGCACACATGCACATGTGCCCAGTATGATTTTGAAGCCATTGGTTCTGGAACTTAGACTGGAAATTTGCCATGGGAGATGCAGTGTTTAACCACCACTCCATCTGAGAACACCAACTTTTGACAAGTTAAAACGCTTTAAGCTTTAATAACTTACATCAGTCCTGAATCAGTGATCACAGTCTGTGGCCTGTGAGCTAAATCCTGCTCAGCTATCTTCATTGCAAATAACATTTTATTAGAACATAGGCATACCCTTTTGTTTACATATTGTCTATGTCAGCTTTTGCCTGAGTAGGGCAGAGTTAAGTAGAGACAGACTGGCTGACTTGCAAAAACTAAAATATTTACTATTAAGCCGTTTACAGAAGTTTGCCAAATTAATACATTTGTATGATAAACAGTATCTAAAACCTGAAATTGTTTATATTGTCCAGAAATAGCAAAGAGCTATCTAGTTTATGCGTAAAGATGAGAAAATCTGGTCCCAATGCTTCCACAGCTCATCTTCTAAGGATCACCAATTGTATCCACCTTTTGCAATTGTTCTAACAATATGCCTAATAGATAGATGATAGTATTCTCATTTCCCAAATAAGGACAATAATAAATGAGGAGAGCACACTCAGTCAGAGCATTGGTATAAGCAAACATATATTGCTTTGAATAGGCAATTATTCAAATCGCACATTTGCTGATTCTTCCAACAAATTATAACTGTCGCTATATCTTTGATCAGTTCCCCTGAGAGGCTTAATGTCTTTTATAGGAACTCTTGAAAAGTATTTTGAAATATTAATATCTGGGTGCTTGACTCCCACATAGTCAACCATAGTTCGAGTCCCGGACACTGCAATTAAAACTCGTGCCAAGTGCATGTGCATGTGTGCCCAAAATCCCAAGAGGAGAATGGAAGAAAAGGGATTACACCATGGCCATTGCCCTTGAGGGGTGATTTCTCACTTTCTGTCACCTTTGTCTTTTTGGCAATCTCACACATCCTATAGCAAAAGTCTCTCAAAAAAAGAAAAAGAAAAAGAAAAGAAAAGAAAAGAAATAGTAACATCTTAACTCTAACTATCTTATCTTTAACAAGTCCTTTAGGAATTCAGCACTCCAAGCAACCTATCATGCCATACACATTTTTTCATTCGTTGATTAGATTAATGTGTATTAGTAACTCAGAGTGCTCTACATGCTAGTGCAATAGAGCTTTCTGTTGGATTGGATGAAAAGCAGACCCCAGCCCCATTAGAGCAGAGCATTCTCTGTGCTGTGATAAATGTATGTGCAAAGGATTATGGGAATGCAGTCTACTGGAATGACTCAGGGGAAACTTTAGAAAGGGTCAGTATCTTAAAGGCTAAACAAATCATCCTAGAAAAAAGGGACATACAGTTAAAGTTTTAAACAATTTGGTCAACTGGTAGTGTGGTGGTTAAAGTACCTGGATCCCACATGGCTAACTCTGTGATTTGAGTCCCAAACTTGGTGGCTTAAACAACATACCAGGGGTGTGTGCGTGGGTGTGTGCGTGTGTGTGTGTGTGTGTGTGTGTGTGGCTAAAGTCCTTTAATATCTGTAGTCATAATGTTTAAAATAAAAGCAAATCTCACTATACTAAATATCCAGTAGAGAAAATAGTTTTATTTTCACTACAGTATATCATTATAGATTTTCTTACTTTTGTCAAATCTCTGGATAGTGTCCTTACAAATGTTAATGACTTTCAACATCTGCAGTTTGATTGCAAGCCCTTTCAAGGTAAAGATATTTTGTTTCCTATTTCCTTCCAGCATTAAGTATTATGTTCACACAGTGGATAATTTTTACTCTAATGCTATGCTATTATAAAGATTCATACTTAGATACATCATTCTGTAAGGTTCACTATGGAAAACAGGTTACAGTCAGGAGACAGTAAAGAACTGCTGAAGAGAACTACTACTTGTCAAGTACTTAGGCTCTAGACACTATTTATTAGGTACTTTTTTTATTCATAAACTTTTTGGAGACCTCTTGGATATACTTAATTCACAATAACCTTTAAGTATTAGGATGAAATTTGATAGATGAAGAAACTAGGTCTGGAAATATTAGGGTACTTTCTACTCAAGTTCCCATTAATGATAAACTATAAAACCAGAATCCAACTTAGAACTGGCAATTTACTTCCACCTCTGTCTATAGACTGCTGTCTCTCAGTGAGGTACCAATGATCTGAGTTGAAGCATGTGATGAAAATGAGAGGAGAGTAGATAATTCCTACTTACTAGAGTTTATTACTGTTACAGAAGTTTGTGTGATACATTAAAATCCTTACAGGTCATTTTCATCCTCTATATTTCTTTTCTTCAAAATTATGTTCATCAGGGCCAGCAGGTGGTGTGGTGACGAAGGTGCTGGACATTCCCACCTAACCATGGCTTGAGTCCCAGACCTGGTGGCTTGCTTTCTCTCTCTCTCTCTCTCTCTGTATCTCTCTCTGGTCAAATTAAAATAAATGAATGAGTAAATAAAGTTAAATAAATAAATCTTTTAAAAAATTATGTCCATCTATATTAGAATAATTTCAAAAGATGTTTTAGTTATGAAAATATATTCAAGATTTACTACAGGAAACTGTTGGGTTGTCAAAAAATTCATGACGTGTTTTTCCATGTTTTTCTATGAAAAAATGCATTATGACTTTTCTGATGACCCAATACACAAAATTGTGGATTTTTGATAATTTAATACACAAATATTTTTTAAATTTAATTTATTTGAAGAAAAAATATCTTGCCTTGAATTCTAGTGTTTTGAAAATTGTATATATATTTTAACAGTGTTAGAGAATGAAGTGGAAGTTAATGTATGGGCAATGGATTATGGGGGGGGAAGGTAACCAATATTTGTTATATTTAATCATCACAGTAGCCCATTGTAATAGTAATCATCATCTACAGTTTACAGATGAGACTCATTAAAGTTGAGTAACTTGTTCCCAATCACATATTAGTGCATGAGCTAGTTCTGAGATTTGAACTTAAATTCACCCCCATCTGTAAAGTCTATCCAACATACCATATTACCTCTCACTAGCCTACATCTGAGAGTCATAATATTGAAAGCGATCTATGTGAATAAAATACATTGACTCTTCAGTGCTTATGAGTACAAGAGAAAAATGAAGGAGCCCAATAATACTTAACGCTTTCCTGTAGAGAGTTAGAGAATTCCTAATGACAAGAGATAACAAGCAAGGGTTTTCTTTATGCACATCTGCTTAGTGTTTTAAAAAATGTAACCCAGAGACTGATATGAAGCTCAAATGTATTGCATAAGTAGTTAACAATATATAGAGCATCTGGTGAGATGTTAACAGCTCTGGCTTTAAAGTGCCATATGTCTCTTCAGTTTTCCACACCCTAAAATAGGTGGCCTGACAAAAGCTAGATAAAAGAAGTTACCAGGTTTATTTTAAATGTGGCTTAACCTGGAATATTCTTTTCCTGAAGATCAGAAATTCCTCACAATGTAGACCATCTCTTGGAGTATGTTAACCCCACATCGCATTATTCAGAAGCCAAAACCTTCGTCCATTAGTGACTGGCAATTCTATGCAGAGGAAAACTTTTCAACATAGCCTTTTATGTTTCTGATTTTATGTTACCAATAATTTGTTACTGCTCTAAGAATCTTAAAAATACTGTACTGCCTTTTTATATATCATGGATTAAGACAGATTTAGACTAAAATCTATGTAATTGTTTACTTTTAGACTAAAATCTAGGTAATTGTTTCCTTTTTACATCTTACACTTCCCTTTAACATAATCCTTTTTGGTTAGACCCATAAAGTACAGACTAGTGGTTTATAAAATATCTTACAATATAAAAAGAAATCTATCATAAAAGTTGAGCTGATCCTCTTTTACACATAATCTGCATTCCATAGCTATATCCTAAAAGGTTGCAGTTTATACATTTAAATAGCCTTAAAAATGAGGACTAGACTCTCATATGGTTGGCTATGGTTCAAATCCCAGACCAGGTAGCTTGCTTTCTCACTTTCCCTGTGCGTGTGTGTGTGTGTGTGTGTGTGTGTGTGTCTGGTGAGCATCCATGCCCTATGGCAAATTAAAAATAATAATAATAAATAAATAAAAATTAAACAATTAATTTTTTTAAAAAGCCTTAAAGTTAATGTTTATTCAATGATAACATTAAATTTATTTCCCCTTTAAGAAGCTTGACTTCACTGTAGTGTTCCAAAACGCATTTTCCATTTGCATGCATGTCTCTGTGCTTGCTTGTATGTGCATACGTGTATATGCATGCCAGTGTGTGTTTGTCTGGGCTTGCTACAGAGCTTTCATATTAAGTCAGTAAGCCAGCTGTCAATATACACTATTTGCATATATTGGTTCATTGGAAAAGTCATGACACATTTTTGCATAGAAAACAGAGAGAAATACATCATGACTTTCCCAATGAGCCAATAGAACACAGAGAAGCAGCAAAGTGACATCATCTGGGTACACTGTTTCAGGCTTTTTCTTTTTCAACTTTGCTATGATGAATCAGATATAGATGTAGCTATAAATACAGATACATAGGTCATATCGTACTAAATAGCTTGGCACAAGAATTCACATACCAGGTCATAGTTTAAACAGAAAGATCTGAAACCATTTCTGTCTTTTACCTGTCAAGAACTGATAAATTGGTAGCAGCTTTTAAATTCCGAGGACAGTGCAACAGGCCATTTTTATTTGTAGAAATGTTGGTAAAGTGAGTTTGAATAATAGTTAAATTGCATGTCACCCACTAGATTTTGAGTTGACAGCAAGCAGAAATTGTGGCATAAAAGATTTGTATTTTCACCGTAAATATTCTGCACCAGTAATGATCTCAAAACTTTTTTTTTTTTTTTATAGATTTTTGCTATAGGGCACG